TAGTTCAACCCAGCTGCACAGCATCTGTATAGATCACTGGGGCTTTTTTTTTTTAAATCCCTGCTGAAGCACTGGATCTATACAAGCGTTGGGCAAACTGGATCCAGCTAATACAGTGCCTCTTCAGGGCTTATGCTGAACTCAGTGTGAGTTCAGCATAAGCAGAGCTTATGAGCAGAGCTTAAATTAAAGCACTGAAGGTTTTTTTTTTCCATGTCTTTAAATAGCCCAGATAACTAGGCTGGTTTTACTTTTTTAGTTATTCTATTGTTTTGTCTATTTTAGTATCTTGGTATTTATACACATACTTTTCTGTTTCATGACGTGCCGGAGTTCTGCTGCTTCCACTCATGAGCTGAGGTGAACTGCACTGTACCGCATACAGTTGTATAAGTGGGGAAAAGTGCATCAGTGCACATAAAATAGTGGTTGTGCACTTTTAAATGAAAGCAACTCTGATGTGTTTTAGTTCAAAAGCATGCCACTGCCATTTTCTCAGCACTGATGTGCATTTCACTGCTTATACAACTGCAAGCGTCAAAATGCGAGGCACTTGCGTGTGTAAAAATGCCCCTAAGAGTATAGTTATATGCCTACATCTTGATTAGTTTTCTCAGATAAGTAAGTTAGGGTATTGAAGCTGGGGTGGCACAGGCACTAAGGCTCATGGTTGATATTCTAGAGGTTGCAAGTTCAAAGACAGCTAGAAGCACTCATGGCATTGCCTGTCAGATTACAGTGAATCTGGAAATTCTGCTAAACACATTGTCACAAGGACATGCAAAAAAAATGATGATTAGGTTCATAGTTTAGAAGAGATGGGTATATTAGTGGTTGATTTTTGGCTGCTATATAGCATAGACCCTGGGTAAAGTTTTCTAAGGAGCCTGAGGCCCATTTTCAAAAGTTTATGGTTTTCCAGGCATCCTATTTTTCTTCAGGCATTGTTCTTCCCTTTCCTGATCCTATAAAACACTGAAGATAACTACAGCAAGTACTTCTACTCCAAGGCATACATTTTTAGTCAGCTTGCATTCATCAAGTAGTTTGACATTTTGGACAAAAAAAAATGTGGTCCCCTGTTGCTGGCAATCATCTCCTCCTCCCCTACAAACACAGTCCATTTCCCTTTTGCCCTGAATTTGTGGAAGAATCTATTTCTTATTTCCTGATTATCCTGATTACAGCTCTCCCTGGAGATTGGCAGATCAGGTCAGATGATAGTTCCAGTACCCCATGATGATTCCTAATTCTTTGGTACAGGAGAGGCCCCAGCAAGTGCCGTCCAGCTCTTTGCTGGTACAAAAGCCACCTAAGCCATTGTCGGTTAAACTGGATAGCATGTGTACTGCATCCACTCACTCCTTAATTCCATTATTGTCCTTTTTGGCTGTTTCAGATAAGAAGACAAGGAGGAATACAGTTACTGGTGGACCTACTGGACCATCGAATGACAGAAGTCCACCGTAGTGCCTGTGGTGCGTTGAGAAATTTGGTGTATGGGAAAGCCAACGATGACAACAAAATTGCCCTGAAAAACTGTGGTGGCATCCCAGCATTAGTACGGTTACTCCGCAAGACTACAGATCTGGAAATCAGAGAGCTGGTCACAGGTTTGTTTCTTTCTATATCTCAATATTGATGTTCATCTGTTCTGCAGGTCCTAGCCTAATACCATTCATATAACATTAGTTACTTCATCTTTGGCTTTATTCACCTTTTGTTTTATCATCATCTTTCCCATCATCAAATGTACACCTATAAACTCTTTAGATGGATTAAATAATACCTGCCTTTACTCAGAATCCTACAAGTATTTATTGGTACAGAAGTGATACTTTGAGCCGTGTTGCTATTTTTTCCCTGCTAGCAGAGAACTATCTTGATCAGGTTGCACCCTATACACCACTGTTCTTCATGTTTGCAGTTCCATCATTGGTTAAGTTTCCTTCATTTTATGCTCTCCTGCTTCACTTGAGGGGGCATGGTTATGCTGTGTTTGCTGTTCTTTTCCCCTTTCATATCTTTAAGCAGTGCAAGCCTGTTTCGCTTTGCTTCTGATAGAAATACGTGAAAGAAATGTGCTGGAGAGATGGTCAATGTTTCTTCTATTGCAAAGTGTTTTTCTAATTCTCAGTAGCATACTGAACAATGCACAGTCTATGTGTAGAGAGCACTGTGATTTAAAGAAATTTTAGATTGCGACCAGGTAATAACTGGTATTCTGTGATTTCAGAAGAAGTTTGATTTTAATTCTGTTTGATTTGGGCTTTTGTGAGCTACAAAAAAAAAAAAAAATACTGTTAAGTACCTCAGGATTAAAATATCTTTGAATCGTGTTTTACCAAAACATGCTTATTTTAAAAAAACTTAAATGTTAAGAGTAGATGCCACCTTTTATGGCTTTTTTCATATGGTTTGTTATTGTGGGAAAGGAACAGAACTTAAATCTGCTACCCATGGCGCTAGAGTTGATAGAAAGGGCAGCACAAAAATGGAATATAAAATCGCACTGTTTCCTCAACTTTTATATCCTATTTTCACCCAGCACAAGTGGGATTGTAGCTCAGTTTCTAGTTAGTGTCATCCTTCCCCTAGTCAGTGTTTTGTGTACATGAGCATATAATAATTTCCACAGTTTTTGTGGTATGCCAAGAATTCCTCTTTCCAGAGAGTGGGGAACTCTTTCAGTGGTTGTTGTACATGAGCAGTCTTCTCTCTCCATAATGCTTTGTCATGCTACATCTGCTCCCTGTTCATGAGAAGCCAGCTCGCATCACCATAAAAAAGGAAAGCAAAAGCCATGTAATGATCTTTAAACCCTGTGTGATTTCCCTATTCACTTGACTACTAAATAGTGTCAACAATGTGAAAATTAATTTTATGTTACAAAAAGAAAGTCTTAAGATCCCCTAAGGTATTTCTAATACTGATATTTCCATCATGGCTTTCCTGCTACAGGATATAATAAAAGTTGTGGTCTCTGTGATAAAGGGATCATCACACACAGTGTTCCCTCCACTTTAACAGGGGTCAGTTCACTTTGTGGAACGTCCCCTGTTTAGTACACAGTTGGCAAGAAATCTGCCCTTGGGTTGACTCCTAATCTCCTTGCTCCAGGAAATCAGTCCCATGACACATTTTAAATGTAGATTTTATATTTAATTTTGTTTCCTAATTATAACACCTTTCATCTCATACCTGTTAGGCAGGTTTAATTAGATTCTTCTTGTCAAGAAGATGCTGTGCTACACAGGGCTCTGATGATGCATCCTGCTGAGTGACAGAATTACTGACAGACCTAATAAAGTGTAACTACTACTTCAGTTTCAACATATTTGTTCAGCTCTTGCTTGTGTTGTCTGCCTCTCAGCTCCAGGGAGTACTCTTCCTGCTTTCTATGAGCAAATGAGTAACAAAGTGCTAATGAACTTGAGTCGTGAACTTCGGCAACTACAACAGAAGTTTCCACATTATCTGTTGCTGTAATACATGACCACTGTATCATTAGCTCTCTGGCCTTTAAAGAAAATAAGTTACAGCCTGCATTTAATCCATTGCAAAATGTATGGCTGATCCTCCTGCATCCCCTCTGAGAGAAAGAAAGGTCTTTCACTTGGTTATCTTTCAACTGTGACAACTAATGATAGATATAAAATTCTGACCTCTAACAGTGGTAAGCAGCACTTGCAGTGACAGTTGTGGCTAAATGTCTACACAGCAAAAAACAATGTCACGCAGAGATAACTGACATAGTGCTGCCTTAGTTAGCTTAGGTACTGGGAGCAGTATAGTTAGTGCAATACTCTACTTAGCTTTCCTGAGAAACATAGTAGATTATCCTCTGTGGAGTACTGCATTACTGTGGCTGTTACTGCTTGTGCAACCTGGTTCAGGGAAGACTCAAAGTATGAATAAATAATGAGCTTATATGAAAATAGGAGGAGCAAGTGATGCAGGAGAGTGATGCTGTGGAGTGGAATCAAAGCAGTTTTAATCTCCGGAACTTCATCCTAGACCAGGCATGGGCAATTATTTGGGCTGAAGGGCCACTTAGCTAGTTTGGTGAGCTATTGAAGGTTGGGTACAAGAGGCAGGGAGATGCCAGTTGATCCTATCCAGTCCAGGAGCTTAAAGAGAGAAGGCTGCACCACACGCTGCTCCACTTTGCCACAGCCAGGGCCAAGCCAGGCTGCGCAGCATGCAGGTTCTTCCACCTCCCCCCCTGCCCGCGCCCCCTCCCACCCCAGCTTTCTGTTGGTGCTGCACAGTCCTGGAACTGAGGCCACCGGCAGCCAAGCCTGCATGGGACAGGGTGTGATGCAGTGCCCTGAGTAACCTTCATGCCCACCCACCAAATTGTTCTTGTTTGCAACTAATAAGATGATACTGTGAGAATGTCTTGCATTGTGTTCCTCTGAATACATTCTCTCTGAACTCTGTTCATTTTATCTTTAAGCAAATCTACTTATATATACCCACATATACATACATCTACTTATACATAAATACCACATATACCATGCATGTGTATATATATATATATATATATACCATACACCCCCTCTATAACAATACTAGTTCTGGGTGTACTGGACTGGACAAAACCAAATATTTTAAATGTTCACATAAAAATCTTTGCAAACTGAGTTTTAAACTGCACACTAGATAATTGCTTAGAAATATCAAAAAGATGTGTGGTCAGACATAAACATGAGCACTTTTAGAAAATTTATAACCAAAAAGGACTATCATTTGATGGTCTTTTGTACAACAAAATTTTTAGACTTTGCCATTTGGTTTATAATTGCATTCCATAAATATGGGCATTCTCATAAAAACCCAGAAAATTTACACTACAAAATCTGTTTACAATGCATGTATTTAACCACTAACTAAATAAAGCTCTGCACTGGATAATTTTTTCTCCAAAATGCTTATTATGAAAGGATCATCCGAATTTAATTTAAATCCTCTTGAAGCCATTGTGTATTATAATTTTGCTTAAAATAACCTTACACAAATATTCGCAAAATGCAAATGTTGCCTATGTTATCGTTCTTCAGCATTGCACCCAGTTTAATTTTTCACTGTGAGTTCCATTCATTTATGTGGAAAAATTGTTATAATCCTTGGTAATAGGCTAGATAATAAATGAAAGGGATGGTCTTTTTAGTAAATTTTGTGAGTTCAGGCTTTAATCTCATCCTATTTCAAAGTTTCTTAACTAGATGATAATTTATAGTTAAAATAGAATTGTTTCCTCAGCTCCCACTAGCAAGGCTCAGTTACCCCAGTCATTCTGTACTTCTCAAGCCTGTAGTACTCTGTGAGCACACCATCGACCTTATTTATCAGTGTCAGGCAGGAATTGTAGCACCTTTTACCCTTTCCAAATTATTTCAGTCATTACTCTAGTCCTATCTTGGCTACATCTACAGTCACAGGGCAGTGTGTTTCTGGCCATTATTGCAAATTTAACAGTCAATCATTTTACTCGCATAAAAACAGTTTTTTTCCTTGATAAAATAAAAAACATAGGAAAGAAAGTCTGAAAATAAAGTTTATTAAAGGAAAACATACTGCCTTAGAGATTCAGAATGGAAGACATACTAAAATTTGAAGGCCTTCTAGAAAGTTTTTTTTTTAATTCCCCTCTGCTATTCCATATAGTCGAGTGTCTTTCTAGGTATTTATACCATTACAATCCCATAAAGTAAACTAGTAGTTCTTAAATCGTCAGTTCTTTCTGCCTTCCACTAGTACAGTGTCAATGGGATTGGTTTTGTTTTATGTTTTTAAGTATTTAGGGAAACCAGGCCATGAAGGTGGATTTTGGGTTTAAGTCCTTTGTCAGTCTCAGTTCTTGCAAAACAGAATGCTGCTAATGTTGGTTGACTATTTAGAAATCTCTGTGCCTCATTTTCATCCTCATAATGTCGTCTTGTTATCTGTCATGAGCGCATTTGTCCTAACAAAGGAATGAACACTGTGGTCAAGTCCTAAGTTGTGAGGAGAATGTATTTCCTCCCAGCTAGATGTATTCTTAGCAGCTGAAACTATCTGAGTAGTAGTGAGAAGTTCTGGGATAGAGAGACACACAATCATGGAACAGTTGCCTTTGATAGAAGATGAAGTGACAGTTCATCAAAATGTTTCCTTTTCTCACTACATTTTCAGTCCAGCTAAAACACAGTTACATCCAACTTCCTTTCGTCCAGGAAAGTGGTGCCACCATTACTGCACATAGAGAAGAGGTAGATCTTTATGCAGTGTGAGCACATATTGTTACAAATGGGATCTCTGGAGAAAGAAGTGCATCTGTCCAGCACAAACATTTGAGATCAGTCGAACAAAATGTTCTTTCTTCTGCATCAAAGTTCCCAAAGTCTTCATAAAGAAATTACTTTGGGTGAGGGGAGACTGCAGAAATGGAAATGTTCTTTGTCAGAGATGACGTGTTTACCTAACCTAGTCTTCTATGTGGGATGATTTCATTTTTGTGATTCACAGTAATAAAATTAACCTCTACCCATCACATAGCCAGCATCCCAGCTCCCCCACCTTCTCCTCCTCCCCACCTTCAGTAACCTTTGCTGCCTTGGAACTAGCC